GATACAGCCAAACCCAGTAACCCGTACAACAGTCCCGGGGGACTTCACAATTAAGTTCATGATGCTGGCTCTTTCAATTTCATCTATTCCACCATTAAAGTTTGCTGAGCAATGTGGACGTACTGACACACAGCAGGCCCACAATAAACGACTGTAAAAACAATGAACCGTATGTTCTGGAATACGGTTGAAAGCTACGACCCCGAGGATGCAGATGGTTTTGTCAGAGCACCAGGCACAGGAGGTAAGGTTCCTGGGGCTACAGACAAGATGGAATAAACCGATGACCAGAACGTATGCAGTTGTGCACAATGAACTGTGCTTCAAGGGAAGATGAAGACGACGGAGAAGGCCAGTTGGGAGAACAAAGGCGGTAAGACCGTCATTCATTTCTTCCTCTTTCCGCCTACAGCCCAATGAAAAGGAAGAGAACCGGGCTATGTTTAGTTGGAGGACCCGGGGTGAGCTTGCATTTCTCTTCACAACAGTTTACTGGGCACACTGGATTTAAAAAGATCTTGTTCCTTTGGTTTGGTTCCACTTAAGGGAAAAATCATTTTGAACTGTACACACCACCAATAATTCAATTTAAACAAACAGAGTTGCTCTCTTTTCACATCATCTTTCTCTCTCACTTCTTAAGACAAAGAGTATCATTGATCTTCCAAGTAAAGACTTTATTTCTACTCACACCTTTCCAGATGTTATATAAATGTCCTTTTTGTCTTAAAAAAAAAATTTAAAGATTTTATTTACTTAAGTAATCTCTACACCCCACGTGGGTGTAGAATCACATGTTCCTCTGACTGAATCAGCCAGGTAACCCCCCCCCCAAAATGTTTTTTAAAAGAGGCACCAGGCTGGTTCAATTGGAGGAGCACGTGACTCATGATCTCGGAGTCGTGAGTTTGAGCCCTACGTGGGGTGTAGAGATTAGTTAAATAAAACTACAAAAATAAATTTTTTAAATAAAAAAATAACTGTCCTTTGCTGATTTATCTGCATATCTCAGGCTCCCTGATCCCTTAAGATCCCTTCATCAAAACCCTAGCTTAGGCCATACCACCTCCAATCTTTCTTGCCAGTTAGGCACCGTCCCCAAGGGTTACTTTAATGATAGGACCTCATCCATTAGGGCTGACCTTTGTTACAGCACAAAAACACATCACGACAGCAACTACACAAGGGGCTATCAAAATACTTTATGGACTGATGGCTCAAAGCTAAATCTCCATCCTCTAAGCCAAAGTTGTTCACGGTTCTCCCCACTGCCTTGGTTCCTCTAATTCCTTACTCCCCTCATCTTCCCAGGCAGATTTACATTCACTGGTCTTTCTACTGGAAGAAACTTAGGATTCAGGTCCTGTCCTGCCTGGATTCCAAAATTTCCAATGTACAACCTATTCAACCATTTGTTCCCACCTCCTGAAATGCAAGCTCCCCCCTGACTCCAGGCAAACGATTATCCTTCGGCGCTCACATTCACCCTCCCTCTGTCCTGATCCCTTCCAGCCCAGACTCTCAGAGCCTATCACTTTACCTGATATACTAAAAAGAAAACAGGCTCTGGAATCCAGAGGGCAGGGCTTGAATCTTTTTTCTCTCCCCTCTAGAATGTAAGCTCCATGAGGGCAGGAATTTTTGTCTCTTTTGTTCAATGTTAGATCCCCCAAGATCCCAGAACAAGGCCCACACCTAGTGGACACCCAATAAATACTTGTGGAATAACTGTATAAACCCCACCACCTAGTCTCAATGTGACTATGGATAAATTTCTTACCACTTGTAGCTCCATTTATTTACAAATTGAATACTCATTTCAAAGCAGAGTCTAACACATATTAGGAACTCAATAAAGTGGTCCCACTTTCCTATTTCCAATAAAACCTCATACCTACTATTATTCCACTCATAACACTAGCATTTGTGATCATGACTTATTACCCAGCTGGGAGCTTCTGGGAAGTAGGGAAACTGTCACATTCAGTCCCAGTATCTAAAAGGAAGAAGTTTCCTAGTATTGTGCACATTAACCCCAATAGTACATGTCAAGTATCTTAATAAAAATCAGTTTCTTCTCTTCCCTCTTGCAGTCTCCTTTCACCGCCAAACTCCTTGAAGGTATGTCTTCATCCATTTACCCATTCCCTTCTCATCACTTTCCTCTCAATCTCCCTGTTGAAACTATTCTCAGGTTTATCAATGACCTCTTGCCAAATCCAACGGCCCTTTCTTGATTCTCATTCAACTGTGTGACAACACAACTGCCACCTGCTTCTAGAACTTCTGAAAACCTTTGGACTCAGAGACAGTGCCCATTCCTAGCTCCCACCCAATCTCTTTACCATCTCCTTCAGCTGCTTCTTTTTCTCTTTGGCCTCCTGTGAGTTACACCAGCACTCTGCTTCAGTCTTGTGGTTCTCATTCGCTCCCTCAATGAGCTCTTTATTCTTGTAATTTCGCTATACCCTCTACTTTGGTGATGCAACTTCATTAATTCCTAACCTGCATTCAGGTCCAAATGTGAAACTGCCTAAGGGACAGATTCGCCTGGATATTCCACCATCACCTCACTCTCAGAAGTAATATGTAGAAATATACGGGTGTAGGAGTCAAGAGACGAGTTCCTGTTCCAGTCCTACCACTAACAACCTGTGTCATTCTGGGCATGTCTAGTCTTCGGTCTCAACTGTGAAATGAGTCAAGATTCAACCTCTAGAAACCCTTCCAGTACTAACATTTCCTAAGTCTACTTGTAGTGTCATCAAAATGAATCCTCTCAATTATTCCACTTCTCTGAAATCTCTACCTCTCAACCTCTACACCTCCCAACTCTATCTTCCTTTACACTATATCCCCAAATCCTATCATTTCCTCCTATGACTCAAGCTCCTCTTTTGGCAAAGGTTGTTACTCTAGTGAGGCAGAATGTACAGGAGAAAGGTCTTCCCCAACAACTGGGGCCCAGTTTTGCAATGACTCTTAACAGCATGAGTAAATCATTTTACTTCTCTGTGTCTCAGTTTCCTCTACAAAACCAGGCAGTTGGGTGAAGTGATTTTCTAGCTCTAAAATTCAATGACTCTTTAACAATTGAAAATTTCCTGGATATTTAAATTGGCCAAACTTGCTAGGTAACCCATTCATCCCTTGGCGTAATTTATACAGGACTGGCTAAAGAACAGATCAAAATTTATAATGATAAAAACATTAAAGCAACTTGCTAAGGATTCACACGAAAGCTTTCGAGGTTTGGGGTTTTGTTTTGAGGGGTTTTTTTTGGGGTGGGGACTGGGATTCCCCCTAATTGCAATGAAATTACTCCCACTTCTCAGGAATCTTAAACTCTAAAGATCCAACCTCCAGGAATGGTAGTAGAAAAACTTTTAAGTGGCAACTTTACATGCCTTCTCCCTTTAGTGAAGCAATTCTTCCCCAAGATCTATAAATCTACTCTGACACAACAGTAATGCTCACTTATACGAACAGTTAATGTTCGTTTATATGAAGAGCTAAGGCTGTATTGTGTTTATATGAATAACAGAGACATTTTTGTACACATATAGAGATGTGGCCTGACCATAGTCACATCTGTCATCCATATACATATAAGGGAACTTAAAACCTATGTTCAAAAAAAAGTGTGTAGGACAAATGCTCTTTCATACTGCCAATTCTGATTATTGCTGTAATAGCTCATAGTAATACTGAAACAGCCATCACTTCAGGTATGTAGGAAATGCTGAAAATATCTGGATAATTAAAGTCTTTTAACAGTTTGTGTGGAAGCTACAATCTTTTTTCCAATTACTTTTAAAGTACTGATTTATCCTTTACTTTTGGCACAACACACCTTAATCCAGACTCACCAACAGGTCTATATACACCTGTTCAAATAATCTCTGTGATAACTGCATTCAATACACTTAGCTCTGCACCAAAATGACAAAGGCAGACAATCCAAGTAGAAAGTTGAAAGACTTAACAGGTGAAACAAATTATCACAGGGAAGCATTTGTAGAGACCTAGCAAATTACAGCATTAACTCTTCCTAGAACGATCTAACTTTGAATGTTTAAAAGACTTTTTACAACGTAGTTCCACAGGCTAAATTAAAAATAGGTGAGACTACTGAATCATAACTGGGCTTTTCAGGTCTATGGAAAACATAACTTCTAACAAATAAATTCTATCAGAAAAGCATTATAGGGGGGCACCTGGGTGGCCCAGTCAGTCGGTTAAGCATCTGACTTCTGATTTCGGCTCAGGTCACGATCTGGCTGGTGAGATCGAGCCCGTCAGGCTGGTGCACTGACCGTGCAGAGCCTGCTTGGAATTCTCTCTCTCCCCCCCCCTCTCTGCCCCTCCCCATTGTGCACTCGCTCTCTCTCTCTCTCTCTCAAAATAAACAAACTTAAAAAAGCATCGTAGGAAAAAAAGTTTAAATTCCCCTCAAATATTTGAAAACACACCTGAACGGGGATAAATTCAATGAAACTAGTTAACTGGAAGCAGTTGCAACTGCTACTTCAGAAAATTCATACAGAATTTAGTTGATCAATTCGACAGTGTAGACCAGGGTTATTCAACCTGGGCATTACTGGTATTTGGGGCCAGGTAACTCTCTACTGTGGGAAGCTATCCCATTCATTGCAGGATATCGAGCAACAACTCTGGCCTCTACTCACTAGATACCAGTAATGCTACCCCCTGGTTCTAAGACCCAAAAATGTTCCCGGAAATTGCTAAATGTCCCACCGGGGCATAATCACCCTGGGTTAAGAACCACTAGAGTAGAGCCAGCCTCGGTGCTCATCTTTACTGCTCAGAGAGTTCCAAAAAGCAAATAAACTTTAGTTTCAGAAACATTTCTACTAAGTATAGTGTATGACTCAGGGTAAAGTTATGACCTGAGTTTTCCACTCTCCTTTTGAAACACATTTAATAAAGGGCAAGAGCAACACACCCAAAAACAGAGGCATATCATTTCATGCCTTGTTCTCGCTGGCAGTCTTTAAAGTTCCTAATTCAGACAAGGCCAGAGAAAACACATCATCATATGTGAGGGTAAGTACACTAAGACCTCAGCTAACTCCAACTGCTGGGTGTGGTTCCATTTGCTCACGGCTGGGGAGTGCTTTTATATACTGTATTCTATTCTGTCTTAAGGCAGTAAGTAGATACACATATTTTTTTAAGTTGTCTCAATGAAAATACTACTTATACGAAACAAAAGAGAACACTGGGGGAAATTTACATTCTAATCAATTCAAGGGCTTAAGAGGAATTTTTTCTCAATTCATCTGCCATAAAAAAAAAAATCTGTGTACTTTAGCACAGAATGCTGAACAAAACCGTATTTTCCTGGTCAGTTTTGTAGTGCTTTATGAACTTATAAAGATAACTATGACTAAACAGTACTGAAGATTCAGAAATGCAGAGACCAGGCTGAATCTAAAAATGACGCCAGGCTGTATTATATAGAAAAAACATTTTTTTAATAGAATGAGTTCAATATTCATCCTATTTGACTCTTCCCTAAAAATAAGAAATCACCAAAATCAATTTGGTTACCTGAAGGTTTTGTCTGTGTTCCAACTGAATAATGCTTTCTTAATTGGCAATATTTGACTTGGATGCCTTATCAAGACATAAAAAGTTTTTTCACCTACTACACCAGTAAAGTCTATTTCCTAACTTGAAATATACTTTAGCTGTGAAATAAATCAAGTTCCATCAAAATACATGCTACTAAAAAGTATTTTTTACAAATTTGCAAAGAGCATCAACTTCTCAATACAAATACTGATATTACGGGGACACCTGGGTGGCTCAGTCGGTTAAGTGTCTGACTTCGCTTCAGGTCATGACTGCCAGGTTCAGTTCAAGCCCCACATCGGGGTCTGGGCTGACAGCTCAGAGCCTGGAGCCTGCTTCAGATTCTGTGTCTCCTTCTCTCTCTGTCCCTCCCCAGCTCTGTCTCTCAAAAATAAACATAAAAAAAAAATTTTTTTAAACGCATATTGATATTACAAATTATAGTTCCCATAAAGTAACAAATCAATTCAAATGTAAGCAACCACCTACAGGGAAATTTTAGTATATATTAGTACGCAAATTAGAATTACTTGGGGTTAACTGTTGGCTGGCCCCTGGATGAAGTAAATCAGAATCAGTGGGTCCCACACATCATCAGGTTTTAAACACCACAGGTTTTTCTAATGTGCAGCACTGAGATAGTCGGCTCTACAGTGACTAAAGCTTTTTTTTTTTCTTTTAAACAAAAGCTTTCCCCTCACTTCCCCCTTCCCCTGCCATGTTTTTTAGACAATATATTCCTAAAACTTCAGATAACTTGGGGAAATGTTTTCAAATACAGATTAACTTTAAAATGCATCTGTGTTACGTAAACAATTTCTCAGTTCACAAGGCCAGAGAAACTTAACAGGCATGCCTAGTCATTATAGGCAAATTTTAAACCGGTTCTCAAACAAGTTCACACAACCCAGGTGCTTCGTAGGAATCTTAATGGGCGCCTGGGTGGCTCAGTCGGTTGGGCGTCCGACTTCAGCTCAGGTCACCATCTCGCGGTTCGTGAGTTCGAGCCCCGCATCGGGCTCTGGGCTGATGGCTCGGAGCCTGGAGCCTGCTTCCGATTCTGTGTCTCCCTCTCTCTCGGCCCCTCCCCCGTTCATGCTCTGTCTCTCTCTGTCCCAAAAATAAATAAATGTTAAAAAAAAAAAAATTTAAAAAGGATACTAACCAAACTGTTAAATGACCTAGCACTGGGGATATGGGGAGGTCAGACAACTTTATACTGATCGCTTGCTTCTTACAATTCTCTATTATCTCATTTTAAATAATGAGTGTGCATTTAAACTTTTTTCTAAGATTTAGAAATCATACGAAAAACACAGTGCTGCAACGCAGAAAATCAATTTTAAAAAGCCCATTCGAAACAAGTCCTATTTAGTGAACGCTAAGAAAATTATGCACACATTTATCCCCTATCGTTATTTTCCTTAATTTCACGATTATCCCAATGAGATAGTAAACGGTAGCTAATAAAACAACGTGCTGCACCAGTGTTATTTCTTTTCTTACAGAGATCCGTTTCATCCAAGCGTTTCCTATACAGGTGGTAAAAGCAGAAACAGGAATTTCTAGACTACAAGGCTAGTTTGGCACAAAGTCGAAAAAAGCACTAATTTGAACTTCAGGTCACTGCAACACTGAACACCTGACACAGATTAAAACCACGTAGGTTTTGCTTCTCCAAAGGCAAGCCAAAACGTGAAGTGACGTTTTGGGGTCCGTTAGTTCTTCTCTCCCTTTCACAAAACATTGCACCCAACTTCGCACTCAGATTCGAGGGCTCGGATTTAAGATTCTCCAAACAATGTTCTTTTTTTTTTTTTTTTTTTTTTCTGCTTCTAAGTTTCTCGAGTAAAACTTTAGGCGATTTCAGTTTACACACAAGCCAAGAACAAAGCTGGGTAAAATGACAGATGAAGTATCTATCCTTCAACCTATGGTCTCTATTTGATTGTTAATACTTTTGCTCTTTGTTAGGTCTTCGGGAAAGCCTCGGCACAACGTCCGGTGCCTAACGTCCTAGAAGAACTTCCTAAAGACCAATTCAGGCCGCATTCTTTGATCTCGTTCATGGAAAGAAGGGTGATGTTAAAATCCACTCTCCTAATACTCGTCAGCGCCTCGAGGTCGTTAGGACGAAAATAAAGCTTCCAACTCCAAGACTTCGGAGTCCGCCAGCGCCTTGCCAAAGGCTGAACCTAGACCATCTACCTTCCCGCTCCCTGGGCCCCCGGATCCCGGGCCGCGAGCGAGAGAGCGAGCGAGCGAGCGAAGTGCCGGGCAGGGAGGGGGGGGCCGCAGCCCCGGAGCGCGCGCCGCTCGGCCAGGGCGGGGCCGGCGGGGCCGCAGTTGCGGGACTCCGCCCGCCCGCCCGCCCCACCAGCCTTCGCGCACTGCGGGCCTCCCCGGTGCGCAGGGCCCGACCCCCGAAGGCGGCCGCTCCCAGCCGGGAGCCAAGGCGCCGCCCGCGCCCGATCCTCGCTACCAGCCCCCGGCCCCGAAGTCGCGGCCGAGGGTACGCTGGGCAGGGGCGCGCGGTACAAGCCCCGGGACCGAAAGGGCGGCGGTGCGGACGGGCGGTCTCCTTGGAACTATAATCAGGAAGGCGGCGGGGGCGGGGGAAATTGGGCACCTCACCTGCTCCTCCCGAGGCAGCCGCTACCGCTCGCTGAGGGGACAACATGGAGCCTCCGCCTTCAGCACAAGCAGCAGGGGCGCGGAGAGGGGCGGGCTGAGGCGAGAACGAACCGGGCCCAAGAGGCGGGAAACGGGCGGGGCCTGGGCTCCAGAAGAAACTGGGGGGAAGGAGGGGTACGCAGAGCTTGGAGGGAAAGAACACGGGGCGGGTCTGCGAGGCGCGGCAGGCGCTTGGGCGGGCCGGGGGTGGGGGAGGCGCAAGCGACCGAATCCCGCCCGCCCGACGCGTGTGCTCGTGCGCGCGAGCGCGCGCGCCGCTGGCTACCTGGGACTGCGCAATGGGGGCGGCTGTCCGTTGGGAATTGTAGTCCGGTGCTCTGAGTCCCAGCCTGCCGTCCCTAGTCTGCGCACTCATCCGGGGCGGGGAGGAAGCGGAAGAGAAAGGACTTGGCGCGGCTCTTCGACGACTGAACTACAACTCCCAACAGGCCACGCGGGGAGGGGAGGAGCGAGCCCGCTCAAGCCCGGGCCCGCCCGCGAGCCCCGCTGGGATCCTGAGCTTGAGGCACGGTCCGGGGCGAGGGATTTGGGGTAACCGGCCTTCAGCCCCTACCCGCCGCGTTTGAGACGGTTTCGGTGTCTAAGGACGGAAGGGAGGCCTTAAACCTGGATGACGTGAGCGTCACTGGTTTTTTTAACGATTTTGACTTCACAAGGAGAGGAGGTCGTGACTTCATTACCACCATCATCAGCTTGACCCCATAATCCCCTGCCTGGCCAAGGCTGGTGGTGAAGGATCACCACCGCCCTGATAGCTAAGAAATTCCAATGAGTCTCCTTCCACAGCCTTTGTCCAGCCTAAGCTATGGCCATGTCTGGTAAATGTCAGATTTACAGGAGCTTGCTTTGAAACTACTTTTGCAAGCACAACTTACTGATCAATGCAAAAGCAGGTTCTCCAAAAATGCTTTTATTCACACTTCACATATGATTGAGAAAATGTCAGTTGCCACAGTTGAAGAATCTTGTTATTTTGGATTTGTTAGGGTAGGGGCAGTTATCGGAGCTAAGTAGCTGGTGGAGCTTATAGGAGGCTAAAGCAGCCATCCCAGCACCACCACCACCTCTTGGTATTACCATTCCCTCATTCATTAGACAAATTATTATACTTTCTTCTGCCTCTGCCTTAACTATTATAACCTACCCAGAACCTCCTTCCAGCTACCTGTAGGCCTTGCCAAGCCTTTGAGCTGTTTTTAGTGCCTGAGTGATTAGGACAGAGGTGAAGAGATAGAGATAATTCTGCCTAATCTTACTAGAGAGACCATGTTTAGATTTCTTTTCCCCTGCCTTCCTATTCTTCCCAAACACTCAAGATCACTTGAATACTCTCCTTGAGGCTTTAGATTTAAGAGTCTAGATCTGGGGCGCCTGGGTGGCGCAGTCGGTTAAGCGTCCGACTTCAGCTCAGGTCACGATCTCGCGGTCCGTGAGTTCGAGCCCCGCGTGGGGCTCTGGGCTGATGGCTCAGAGCCTGGAGCCTGCTTCTGATTCTGTGTCTCCCTCTCTCTCTGCCCCTCCCCCGTTCATGCTCTGTCTCTCTCTGTCTCAAAAATAAATAAAACGTTAAAAAAAAATTTTAAAAAAAAGTCTAGATCTAGTCCATTTAGGCCAGCAAAAACCTAGACAGGGACATCAGGGCAAGTGGCTAATGGGGTTTCACACTAGGTGTGCAGGCCCTACAGGATGTGTCACAGCTACAGGGCATTATGTGGCATGCTCAGAAAGAGAGAGGGGCCAAAGGCCAATGACTGGTCACAATTGCAACATACAGTGTAAGAATTTAAAATTGGACATACATCCCAGAATTCTCTAGACCCTTTCCTCATCCATTTTCACTAGACTTCTTGCCATATGACTTATTATGTTTTAAGTAAAACATAGTCTTTTAAAATATTTACTTATTTTGAGAGAGTGTGAGAGGGAGAGAGAATCCCAAGCAGGATCCACGCTCTCCACACAAGAGACTGAGGCAGGGTTCAATTCCACAACTATGAGATCATGACCTGAGCCAAAATCAAGAGTCAGATGCTTAACCAACTGAGCCACCCAGTTGCCCCTAAGTAAAACATAGTCTTTTCACTTCTCTTCCCATCAGAATAGGAAGTTTTGTCTGTTTTTGTTCACTGTTGTATCCACAGTGTTTCAAACAATGCCAGGCAGATAGTAGAAACTCTAATATTTATTGAACAGATAAATAAAGAAGGGATATGTGACACCTAACGCTGCTCACTCACTTTCTTGCTCCCTTAATATTAAGTCCCGAACTTCTGCTTTTGAACAAAATACCCTGTTCTATTTTAAGGGCTCCCGACGGAGATCTGCTGAAGCCCATCCTGTCAGGAAGTGACCAGTAAATGCTGACATTACATCTGTCTCAATATAATATCACCAAAGTCAGTGTTAGTTGCATTTGGAACAACAGTACAAATTATAGGTAGATTTTAAGGATTAGTCACACTCAGAAAACAACTCCTATAAACGAGAAAAAATGGTTTGTTGTTAGTGTCATTGTTTCTTCGCCAACAACCAGGGTCATCAAAACAGTAGACATTTAAAATGCTCAATATTGATAATACTGATTACAGCCTGCCTTTAGCCATCTCACTCTGAATTGAGTCAGGTGGTATGACCAGAGTCTGTGTTTTCCTTGTGGTTTTCCAGAAGCAGGTGACATGTAGACATGTTTGAATGGCTAAGGCCACAGTGTTTGGGGTCAGACCAGCCTGTCTTTGAATTCCGGCTCTGCTGCTTACTAGCTGTGCAAACTTGGGGGGAGTTACTAAACCTCTTTGAACTTATTTCATTATCTCCTGCCAAATGATTCGAGTTGTTGTGGGTTAAATGCGATGTAAGTGTTGGGCAATTATGACTGATGCATAGTTGGTGCTCAAATATTGGTAACCGGAGTCATTTGGGAAAAAGCAAAAACAAAGTCAGAAATATTCCAGATAACCAAGTGTTTTATGAAGCACACAAGTAACAAAATTGTTTTCTGCAGTGACATCCACTGTGACTCAGGTCCCAAAGCTTTCCAAAAATAGCTTTCCAGAATTGTTATGTGCCAGACATAGTGCTAGGCCATATTGCTGATATATGAGTAAGACACATTCCTGTCCTCCAGAGACTCACAGTATTATGGGGTAAATAGCCAAGTAAATAATTATCACTCACTGTGACTGTGCTGGGACCCAATTCAGCCTTTCCTCCTACCGCCTACTCCTAAGATCCACGTTTAAGCAACAGTCTGGGGCCTTGGAAGGGACAGACTGGACTACTGGCATCTCTGGGTGTCATTTAAATATCTACCTTACTTTGCTCTGTGTATAAAATGAGCTATTGACTTGGTGGCATAGTTTATGAAAAGAAAATAGTCAACCCCAACTGACAGGGTGTCAGAAAGTTGGAGGGGTGCCTGGGTGGCTCAGTCGGTTAAGCGTCCTACTTCAGCTCAGGTCACGATCTCATGGTTCGTGGGTTGGAGCCCCACATCGGGCTCTGTGCCGACAGCTCAGAGCCTGGAGCCTGCTTCGGATTCTGTGTCTCCCTCTCTCTCTCTGCCCCTCCCCTGCTCATGCACTGTCTCTCTGTCTCTCTCTTTCAAAAATAAATAACATCAAAAAAATTAAAAAGAAAAAGTCGGATATCAGGCCCTCAATGTGGTGGTAACACAGTAAAATCTCAAAACGTATCAGCTGCTTCATCATTGTTATTTCAGCCAACAGCACAGCTATCTGTTTCTTCAAAAAGATACTAGAGGGGTGCCTGGCTGGCTCAGTCAGTTCAAGCCTCACATTGGGCATGGAGCCTACTTAAAAAAAAAAAAAAAAAAACTAAAAAAAAAAACGATACTAGGAAAGACCCTTAGAATTTACTATTAAGGAAAGGAAGCAACAACCTGTATAGCATGCTATCATTTATGTTAAAAAGAGTGAATGAGGATAAAGATTTGCTCTCTTTCACCTTTGCATTTGCCACAAAAACTCCTAACAGTACTTACCTATGTGTGTGTAGAGGAGACTAGTAACTGCTGGAGAGGGGTTAAGAATAGAAGAAAACTTTATAGTGGGCCTATTCTTGAATATATATACTCCCATATACATAACATGAATATATTCAAAGAGGTTTCTTAATTAAAATATATCCTTTTGTTTTCCCCTAAGTCAGGGGGAAAAGATGGGATAATGAGATGGCCTAGAAGCCGAGGTGGGAAACTAGCTGTGTAAACACCAGTCCTCTAAGGACAGGGCCAAGGAAGAAGAGGCCCAACTCAGTGCCTCAGCAGCAAAAAATTACTCCAGAAAAAAAAAAAAAAATTGCTACACAGAACTGAGAAGTGGCTATGCTCCAGTGAACACTTCAAAAATCCCAACTGAGGGGCACCTGAGTGGCTCAGTCAGTTAAGCGTCCAACTTCGGCTCAAGTCACCATCTCACGGTTCGCGGGTTCAAGCCCCGCGTCGGGCTCTGTGCCAAGAGCCTGGAGTCTGCTTCGGATTCTGTGTCTCCCTCGCTCTCTGCCCCTCCCCTGCTCGCGCTCTGTCTCTCAAAACTAAATAGGCATTGAAAAAACATTTTTTTAATAATCCCATCTGAGCCCATCTCTGTCGGAAAACCTCACTGAATTCACTGGGTCCCCCATATTCCCATTAGCCTTAAGAGGAACCCTCAGTTCCTCAGTGCTGTATTCCTGCCTTTCCACACTCTGGCCCCGACACATCTTTCCCATTTTACCTCCCTCTTGTTTCAATTCAAGCCCTTGGCTCTAGCCAACTGGGCTAACCACACCCTAAAAACCTTACTAGAGTCACACTTCTGACCCTCTAGCCACCACAGATGGCCGTGTAGTCTACATGTAGCCCTAAGGCAGCCTGTGGAGGGGAGGGGCAAGAGGGGATCAAATCTAGGCCAAGTTCTGCTAAACAAGCCAGCGTTGAAGTGCATCATGGGGTGGGCAGGGAGGAAGGAGTGCTCTCCAGTGATTGGTCTGCCCAGAAGGAGGTCTTACTGTATACTTGCACAAAAGCAGCCGCTTCATTTGCTTCACTCCATTCTCTGCTTTTAACGACCTCCTTACCATTCCAAACTCTGACTTTGTTCTTCATAAAACCTCCCAAGCCACTACCAGCTCCATTATGATTCCCTCTCCCTTTAAATTCATACAACTGAGTTGCCATCTCATCAGAACACTACAGTTCTATGTTGTTTGGGGTTGTTTTGGTTGCCATTTAATTTTTATTTTTATGCGAGTATTTTCGAGCCCCAACTAGCTTGTAAGCTCATTGAAGACAGGACAAACATATTTTTTTGATTCCTCCACATTCCCCAGGATGGTGTCATTCTCTCAGCAGGTGATCAGTAAACATTTGTGGAACAAATCATAGATACAAATAACATCTCACGCAAGAGTCAGTCTCAGGGAAGTTTACTGGTACAGCAAGAGGGAGCAGGAAAGAAAAACAGTTTCAGGAATTGGACCTAGCACAAAGGTCTCTTACGGAAGAAATCTTAAGAGTATGAAAGGACCACCAAGACATCCGTACCTTTATTTTTAGCTTCTTTTCTCTACTTCTAGTTACCATGAAAACAGGTTTCCTTTCCTTTCCCTAAGAGCCTAGCAATCGCTGTCAGGGCTAAGGACCAGCCTCATTCATTTTCTTATCCAGCATCTAATAGCATACATTTTTAAAGTTTATGCATTTATCAGAATGGGTACATAACTGGCTTGGTTATCAGATTGGTTTCTATTTCCCTTTGTCATCTAAAGGACAGATTGCTGCATTATCAACTGATGCCGTAAGTGTCAGAGGAAGATATTTGCCACGTATTATTTTGGGAAATATCTTCTGTGCCTTTTTTTCCAGAGCATTGCAATAGCCAGTTTTTTTCCTATCTGGGCTTTACCTGACCTTAAAAAGTGTCAAGGGCAGATGTAGTCTACTTCCTGTTCTAGAAGATTTCCAATGGTCAGATCACTCGTCCTTTCTGTTGCTGCCTGGCATACCACCTCCCCCTTCATGAGGCTGCATCTCTACAGGATCTGCTGATCTTGCAATTGCCCTTCAGGTCATCGATTGCTGCTTTAGCAATCACAAGGCCTACAGTTTTGATTTTTGCCATTTCCAGTTTACATTCCCCTTTTTAAAAGAATCATGCACATTTCAAGTATTTTGATCACGTGTATGGAGAAGGCTTTGAATTTCACAATCCAACCAAAGAGGAGACCAAAACAAAACAAAACAAACAAAAACGAACAAAATCCAGTATAAGCTAGATATCTGGTTTCAAATAAATTTTCTACTAAAGACTCCATTTAGGCTATGGATAAAATTCAATCGTATGTATTTTGTGGCATATTCTCAATACCTCATTTTACCATCCCCCCATAACCGCAGCCAGGATGTTATCTCCGGGCTCTTCTTCTCATTAGCTCAGCTATTTTTTCTTCAAAATATGTCTTCTTTACTTGATAGCTTATGTGGAGGAAAGGACAACCTTAAGACCCAAGGTGGACCCCTCTTTGGGAACAGAAACAAGGTAAGAATATGAAGCAGGTTCTGTTGGCTGCATTGGAATGTGACTAGAATGAGTAATAGTTTTTCATTCTGTATAGCATCTTGCTCCACCTACCAAATGGGAGACCGTGCCATCTCTGCCTCAGAGATTACGACACATCCAGAAAAATTAATAAAGCACCTTGCACAGTGGGCCTATATCCACATTCCGCTTTTCACTTTTCATTGGCGTCACAGGCAGGAACGCATCAGACAAAAGACATCCGCTCTGGAATTTATGGGAAAGACATTCTCCAGCTAATGGAAGCAAAAGAAACTTCTATTGTTAAAACCCATAATCCGGCGACCCTGACACATTCACATAAGGAGTTATGAAGAAATACTAACCTGCGGGGGCCCCTCCCACTTCGGCCGCAGTGGTGGGCGGGGCTTGGCATTTGGCCACGCCCCTTGCGTCTCTTTCCCGGAGGGGCGCGGCCCACCCCGGCCTCTCGCGCCCGCGCTTGGTGAAGCCAGTTTTGCCCCTCCTTCCCCGCAGGAGCGCGGAGGGACAGTTCTTGCGCTTGCGCCCTGCGTCGCTGGGCGCCTAGACCCGACCGCCGCCCGCCCGGGGGCCTTTTGTGCGCCTGCGCGCTCGCGCTCGCCCCCCCCCCCCCCCCCCCCCCCGCCCTCTCGCTGCGCTCGGCTGAGTCAGTCAGTCTGTCGGAGTCTGTCCTCGGAGCAGGAGGAGCGAAGGGACTTCCGAGAGCCAGCTGCCCGATTATTTTCTTTCCCCTCCCTCTCTCCCGCCCCACATCTCTCTTCACCCCTCTCCTGCCCTTGCTCGCGCGGCCATGGCGGAGCCGTCGGCGGCCACTCAGTCTCCGTCCGTCTCGTCGTCGTCCTCCGGGGCCGAGCCTTCGGCGCTCGGCGGCGGGAGCCCTGGAGCCTGCCCCGCCCTGGGGGCGAAGAGCTGCGGCTCCTCCTGTGCGGGTGAGGCGCTCCGGGGAACCCCGCCCTTGGGGGGTGGGGGGGACGTTGGAGTGTCAGGGAAGGCAGAGGACCCTCGCCTACCGGGGGCTTCAGCCCCCGGTTACGAGCGGGTGGAAAATGGGCTAAGGGGGAGGGGAGAGTAAGGTGGTGCAGGCGGTGAGGAAATAACGGGGTGTGAGGCAAACAGGTTGGGAGCGGGGAGATATTCTGGGGAGTGGGCGTTAACGCCGAGGCACAGCAGGTGGGGGAGAAACACCATTTCGGGGGAGCCGTCGGCTGAACCGGGGTGATTTAGTGGAGGATTAGAGAGATTGAGAGGATTGGGGCAGGTTGGTTGCAGGAGAGCGAGCTGGCTAGGGTTTCGAAGAGATGATGGTGCAAAGGTTGCACTGCGGGTTTACAGACAGGTGTTGACATAGTCGGAAATTCGTGGTAGTCTTCCAGAAATATAGAAATATTTTTTTGGTTTCCCGTGGGGGAGGATCAGGACGTTTGATGGAAACATGGCAGCCGTTTTCTGTGCTCTTTTCCTGCGCCTGTAATTTTTGTTGTGGTTAGACTCCCTAAATGCTCGCTTTTCTGAGGCTCCGAGGTGAGAGGAGGCGTGATGAGAATAGCTCCGGGAAGATTTGGGAGGGAGCAGCCGATGGTCCAAGATGGATCCGTGGCTGCATCTGCAACACAGCCCGCTCTTCACTGGCGCGGCGTGGGGGTGGGGACAAGCAATCAATTGCTTATATTCTAGAAAATAATAGAGTCATGCCAAGCCATCAACACATTTTGATTTCATGCTCTCTATGGGCCATTATTGATCGCAGTGTAACAAAGGGGAGTGTTTAGCGCAGAAAGGGGGGAGGGGGAGAAAAATTAGACAAAGCAGGAGCTGGTTTGAACCCCTTCTTCTGTCTCTCTGTGAAAGACTAGGAGGCAAGCTGCAGGCCGCTTTTAGTTTCCATTGTATACGCGTTTGCCTGCTGGTGGGAGCTGGCTGGCAAGCTCCCCTCGTGCAGAGATCTGCAGTGCAGATGCCTTCTTGAGGGCAAAAAAAAAAAAATGCACCATGAGCAGGTGGTGGTTCTTAGAGGAACTCAGTCTTTGAAAAAAAGAAAAAAGAAAAAAAACAAAAACAAAAACCTTTTCGTCAAAGGAAGGGGGCCATAACCGGGGAAAGTACAGACGATTTTGCTCTGCATTTAGTTACCTTAAAGGATTTTGAGCGGGTTTAAAATACTCCCTTGTCTCCATTGCCAGAATCTTGGGTTGATTGTTCTAAAGAACGTGGGATTTCTGATCTTGGCTTTAAATATTCTCTAGATGTTCTGTTTTGTTTAATCTCTACACCCAAAGTGGGGCTCGAACTCACGACCCCAAGATCAAGAGTTGGATGCTCCACCAACTGAGCCAGGCAGGTGCCCCTTTTCTCTAGTTTTTTTGAACACTGGATTTCCACATAAGAGCTTTGGGACCCTGTTGGATTTTCCAGTGTGGTTATGGCCATTTTGATAGAGACAATATCAGAGGAAGCTTCTGCAAGGTCAAGATTAGCTGTCCAGATAAAGGAATGAGGCAGCAAATTTAGAACCCTTGTTCCCTTTAAACGGCCAGCGTTTCTCCTCCAAATTTTTGTGTTCTGGGCAAAGGTCCAGATGAACAACAGCTTCCCTATAACTTAGCAACTTGGTGTTTTGGATTTAATCACTTGTCATTGCTTACTGTTTGGTTGTTGGCCCTTTTGTATAGACCTTTTGATTCTTTGCGATTTTGAATTCTTGATTCACCTGCGAAATAGGTAGATACTCTGTCTTACTTAAGTTCTCATTTGTTGTAGATGGGTATTAATATTATCTAAAAAGCATTAATACAGTTTTGGTGGGCCTCATTGGTCGGGTCACTACTTGAAAAGTTGAGCTTAAGATACTGTAATGTGTGCTTAATCATTCCATTGGAGAAGCTCTTCCCCCTTGTAGAATGTTTTCTCCATATCTCAGAGGGAATGTCCTAGGCTTCTGCACTACGAAAATAAGGTGAAGTTTGTTATTCCACAATTTAACCTATTTAAAATGGACACTTAGGGGCGCCTGGGTGGCGCAGTCGGTTAAGCGTCCGACTTCAGCCAGGTCACGATCTCGCGGTCCGTGAGTTCAAGCCCCGCGTTGGGCTCTGGGCTGATGGCTCAGAGCCTGGAGCCTGTTTCCGATTCTGTGTCTCCCTCTCTCTCTGCCCCTCCCCCGTTCATGCTCTGTCTCTCTCTGTCCCAAAAATAAATAAACGTTGAAAAAAAAATTTTTTTTAATAAAAAAAAATAAATAAAATGGACACTTAAAAATCTACCTCGATTGTTTAAAAATTCTACAAGTGTTGATTGATGTCAGCCTTCAGCTTTCACATTCTTTTCACCAAGCTCCTCTTGGTTTAAGAGACTTTCAAAATGTGGAAAGGGTGGTCGCTTGGTGTCCTGCAGGAAAAAGTTTTGTCTCAACTGACCTGTCTAGTAACAGCTTTTAGAAATATTAGTTACTACCCAAAGGTAGAGAATGAGTGATGACACTCTCTGGTCTAGGGCCCAGGTGCTAGTGCAGCCAGCAGAGTATGCTGGGAGAAGGTGGTCAAGGACCAGAATTGGCATCCCGATTTTCTGCCTTTGAAGAAAATCAAAGATCTCAAAGGCAGAAGTTTGAGGTCAAGGTAAAAGAGACTTAAATATTTAGTGTTTTTTCAGAAGGGGGATTGCCTTTATTAGACACCAAGTATAGATACCGTGTCTGAACTTGGAAGGTTTACTGTCTTTTTAAAGCGTTTAATAGTGTTTAAAATCCTACAACTTGACAGAGACTGTCCTTTATTATTGCTCTGAATATCATGATGCCAGAATAAAGCTACATTTCTTGTATCTGTTCATGGAAATTAACTCAAAGCAAAAACAGCTTGGACAGTTAAAAAAAAGTTTTTGCTTTAAATCCTTCTTTTCTCACTCGTGAAGCTTAGTTGTCCTGTGTACTTTTTATGGCATCACTTTCACAGTTTATTCTATTATGTCAATCAAATATAAATATGTAATTTGTATTTTCCATCTTAACCCTTAGGAAGGAATCTACCTGTTTAACACTGACATTAACTGTATTATATTCATGTCACATTATCAGTGGCAGTATGGCATGGTGATAAACATGCAGATTTGAGCTCCAAAGGCATATAGATTTCAAGCCTGATTCTGTCTTTTAATGGTTGTATGACCCTGTGCATATCCTGAGCCTCAGCAATATGACCTAGGCAAATTTGCTTTGTGCCCTTAAATCCTCACTTTCACTGAATAAGAGTACCTAATATTTGATTCATTTATTCGCAGGTTACAGACTGTTTGCACATAGATAAAAAATGTCAGTTGAATTTCAAGTGAGAAATCATAATCTTCCTCACAATGAAGGAAGATCTTACACCACTTTCCTCTTTATAAAAGTGGGTGTTGCAGCTTTTGACCCTTCACATTAATGTCTTCTAAGCTACCAGCCCTTTCACTCAGCCAGTCTGTTAAAAGGAAGGTGAGGGGCAGCCAAGGTGTTTTGTAGATAGCTTGGCATGACATCAGTATGGTTAAGTATTGGGGCGCCTGGCTGGCTCATTCAGAAGAGCATGTGACTCTTGAGCCCTACGTGAAGTGTAGAGATTACTTAAATAAAGCTTAAAAATATATGCTTAAGTATTTTCTGCAGCATTCTGACCATAAGTGTGTTACAATACACCGTCAGTGAAAGCAAGAAAGAGTACAGGAGACAGCAAGAATGGTCATGTCAGTATGGTTTACATTTGCCTATTGACTTGGATGGTTTTTATTCCCCAGAAATAAAATGTTTCTTTTAATACTGTTTTCTTTTAGAGTCACATTCACAAATAGTTTAACCACTCTAGTCTCTCATGTGTGACAAGCATACCTTAACCCTAAATTGAAATTTCTAGATGATTGTTTATGAAATTGCTGGTAAGTACATAAGTGTTTTAAAATGTTTATAATTTGAGATGGCCTAAAAACAAAATAAGATGAATACTATTGCTTTTATTGTATTTTGTGGTAAGGAAATTATATACTCATCCTGATCTAAGACTCACTGGTTTATTTTATTTTATTTGGGGGGAGGGGCTCACTTACCTCTTTAATCCTGGATGTGTTTCAAGCACTTGTAAATGAAGTTTAGTAGTGAGGGAGTTGGTGACATGTCATTGAAGTTTAGGGAGAGTTAAGGTTTCCAGTTTTTTTGAGGCTGTTTGTTCTATAGAAAAGCACTTCCCTTTAGCAGTAATCCTAGAACTTAACCGTTTTTGTAATTCCAAGTGGAATTATAAAAGGCTCCAAATAAATGAATAATTACACATATTTGTTGTATGTACTTAATAGTTTATGTTCAGCTTTACTGTTAATGATGAATTTTATAACTGCCTCCAAAACTTTATAGGCTTGTGAAAAATATATTAATTTAATAGTAAAGCTTTTTAGATAAAAATTATCAAGTTGATATTATGTTTATATAATTATCTTATTCAGAAGCTGCCCAGGAAACTGACTTGACTTTTTACTCAGTTCATTTATTACAGCTGTTAATTCTAGAATTATTTTTAGTCATTGAGTATGCTACAGATGTTTTGAAAAATTGTATATGCCACGTAAGTTTAGCTATAATCAATATTGCTTGTGATTGCGTCATTGAAGTCTTTTACTGCATTCTTGTGACTTATGTAAGTCATTTTTACTCTGTGATAGTGCAGTTTCAGAGAGAATCCCTTTAAATACTGTATCAGATTGGTGTTTGTTTTATTAGGAAAGGGTGTGTCAGAAGGTAGCCTTCTCTTATGATTTTCTTTTTTAATTTCGAAGAAACATACTTACCTATTTTCTCCAATCAGCTGTTTTATTTCTCCCTGTAAGCATATCATCATAACCTAACCAGGAGAGGCGGTTGGAGCTTTCTGACATGTTCCTCATTGGCACCTTGCCCTTAAGGATATTG